CATGGGACTAAGTAAGTAAGGTTATAAGTTATAAGTACACTAATTGGGGTTATAATCATACTTACCTTACTTATAGCCCTAGCTACTAAGTCCCATGATCCTCCAAGTAGATCAACAATGGACAACGCAGGTTCGGGGGTGCACAGGCTGTGTCCGTCTGTTATCAGCGTGGTTACTGCAAGGATCAGGGGGCTAAGTCGGATAGCTATAGCTGTAAGTACTTTCAACTTACAACCTGACATTCAAGTCGAGGTATCTACAACCCTACCAAGTCTTTAGGGTTTAGGGTTCTTTGATCAGCTTTGATCCTAAATTATCAGTGGCCAGTGCTGCTTGTAATGATTTGTTTCAGGGCTTTTGTTCAGGGGTTGAGGCTTGTGGCCACGCGCCCAGCAGGAGCAGTGCCGGGTAGATGAGCCGTGCGGGTATCCTTAGCCCAAAAAGACTCCAAGTCCGCAATTCCTGGCAGGGTCTTGGGGTCTTAAACCCTAAACCCCACTCCCAGGGCCACGCAGAAGAGACACCGAAAAGAGCCGCTGTGGAGAAATTCCTCCGTTTCGAGTCTCGGAACTTGTTCCCGGAGGTCTTGTCCACAATTAAGAAGAGCACGCATGCCATCACGGTAGCAGTGTCAACATTGGCTACCCTAAACCCTTGACCTTACACCGTAAACCTTAAACTTAAATCCTCAAACCCCAAGCCCCAAGCCCACTTCAAGCTCTAAGCCCTACACCCGAAGCCCGAAAGCCCAAAACCCTCAATCAGAAAACCCGAACCTGGAACCTGTCCTGGGCTGCCTCTCTACGGAACGATTCTTCAAGTCTGAACTGCTTCAAGACCCCTAAAACCCTAAAACCCTCAACCCTAAACCCTAAACCAAGCCTCGGGGTTTAGAGATTTCGGGTTTAGTGGTTGTGATCGAGTGTTCATCCTGGCAGAGTCTCTGCAGGCGAGTTGTAAAAGAGTTTAGGATGTTAGGGTTTAGGGTTTTAGGGTTTAGGGTTTTTTTGGTTTAGGGTTTTAGGGTTTAGGGTTTTTTTGGTTTAACAGGCCTGGATGTAAAAGGGTTTAGGGTTTAGGATGAAGGCTTCGACCTTGTCGTGCTTCTCCGCAAGCCTAGGTCAACGTCGCTAGGCAGGACTGTGCCCTCAAGCCTATAAACCCTAGAGGTGCATCCCTTAAGCTGTAAGCCCTAAACCACGAAGCCGTCATCAAAGCGATCACTGTAGTGGGCTACGTCAGCACCCCTTCCTTCCAAGTTGCAAGAGTTTCGAGCTGGAAGGTAGGCTGTGGCCTGCTTGGGGCCAGGGGTAAAGGGCCAAGTAAGCTGAAGCCGACAGATTTGGGTTCAGGGTTTGCGTATGCGGGTGTAGAAGTGCAGCGGCAAATCGGAGGCGAAATCGAAGTCGCCTCAGCGCCGCTCGAGATCGCAGCGGCGGTCGAGATCGCAGCGTCGGTCGAGATCGCAGCGTCGGTCGAGATCACAGCGTCGCTCGAGATCGTCTGGAGCCCCAGACGATTTCACAGCCAGGTGAATGTTCAGGGGTTTGTGGAATTTACGGACTACTTAATGCCTACTGGACAGACCCGACAGCTTGTCATTCGACAAATTGACAAAAGTGGGGTTTGGCGGTTGCTTTTGATGGGAAAGTGAAGGGCTCCTGCGCAGGTGTAGGTTGCTTTGAAACGTGAGCAACCAAAGGAACCCGGCAGCCTACCAGGTGTATAAAACTTGGGGGCCTGGTTCCCAGAACAGGGTGCAGGGTGAAGGGCATAGGAACTGCAGAGGGATATTCATAAACCCTTCGCTAGGACTTAGGGATCGCGAACTCGAGCCAGAATATTCGAAGTTCTCGTACGCTTGGGCGATCTATGGTAAGGCTCAGGGTTCAAAGTCGTCGTTGAGCATCAAGAGGCTGCATGCTTTGCCCATTTTCGAGCCGAGCTGCAACAGACATCCTTAAACCCTAAACAGTTAAGCCCGAAACCCTAAACCCTAAACAGCTAAGCCCGAAACACTACAAAACTTGCCGAGACACCGCCGTCCGCGTCGGTCGCCCCGACGGAGCCGCTCGCGGAAGTGCCCTGCCCAGCAACCCTAAACCCTAAACCCTAAACCGGGTGGGACCTTCTTGCCATGCCAGCTTCGTGCGAGTGTGTGAGTCGAAACCGGGTTTAGGGTTTAGGAGCATCCTAAGCTCACCTTCTTCTTCAATGGAGTTTCGGTGTAATGAAAACTAGAGGCCTGAAGAATTAGTGCTCGAATTGCTTGGGGTATTAAGGCTAGGGCCCGGCTAGGGCCCCTATATTAAGTTTCTGACGGGTGGCTCTGGCTAGAGTGGTTCTCAGTAGGGATGCTTCCGATACTCGGCAGGGAGTTGGGGTTCACAGTTTACAGTTTGAGGGTCATTGCGTCACCTCTGCTTGTTTCGGTTGCAAGTGACAGATGCAAGTCAGCATTCCGGCTGTATTGGGAGGGTGAAGCTCCTCCATACGGCGGGTTTGATTCGTAACAGCGTCCTCACCTTGATCTGCGATTGTCAACTTGGGCACACTGCATACTGCGCTTGGTTCACGTAACGGATCCGGATCGTACGAGCAATCCTCGCTTGCAGAGTATGCCCCAGTGTCAGCGCGAAGCCCCCAACCCCTCGACCCCGAAGCAACAATCGCAAGTCAAGCAAACCACATAACTAGTTGAAGCAAGATGTAGAATCAACGGCAGAGAGAGAGAGAGAGACTAGTTAGGATATGTTTTTATGTAGCATACTACTTTCGTATTCCATACACACGGACCAAACCACCGGCCTTTTCAAGCTTCCCAACAAATAATGTAGGAGCCTTAAATAGAATGTGGTTTTGGGGATATTGGGGTATATTATGCTGCAAGTACAATAAGGAGCCCCCCAAAAAGTATAGGTAATTATTAAGGCCCCTATATTAAGCCTTAACCATCCTAAACCCTAAACCTCTCAAGGCCCCCATATTTAGCTCGATGACGCGGATCAAGAAGCGACTCCCCTAAACACTAAACCCTAAACCCTAAACCCCAGCCCTAGCCGCAAGGCCCGCGAGACGCCTCGAAGGCCGAAGTCTGGGATGTTGTCTCTAAGGGGTTTAGGGTTTAGGGTTTAGGGTTGAGGATTTCGGGTGTGGGAATTAGTTATTAAGGAGTTTAAGGTTTAGGATTTCGGGTGTAGGGTTTAGTTATTAAGGAGTTTAAGGTTTAGGATTTCGGGTGTAGGGTTTAGTTATTAAGGAGTTTAGGGTTTAGGATTTCGGGTGTAGGGTATAGTTATTAAGGAGTTTAAGGTTTAG